TCTAGCCAATGCACCTGCCTTGAACACAACTCATTTTACCTGTGAAGACTAATATCTAACATTTACTGTGCTAACTACAAGCCCTCCAGTGTTAATGTAGATAAAGGTAGCTGAAGTTTTGTGGTATCCTTCTCTTGTTAGAGTCTTTTTTGCTTAGAGTTCTATGTAGAGTCTTTTTCGAAGATGTTATTCATCTCTGAAGAGTGCTTCTCTTTCAGGGGATTTCAAATGTTAATTAACTTCTCCTACAGGGTAGATGACGCATTTGTCATGTTAACTATGCTGAAATGTTTTAAATTAAATGATAACAATATGACACAAATCAAGACTGACCCAGGAGTTTGGTGGAAATTGTAGGTTATCTAGCACCCAGTGAATACTTGAGTCAAACTTCTTGAATTTACAGTTGAAACCATCTGGGAGATAGCATCAGGTACATGGGCTCACATTCTATGAATCCCTTGGTCTTGGGTGGACTGCCTCCAGAGCAGGCTTGACAAACTCTATCATGTCAGGTCCTTAGAAAAAGAGTATCCTAAAAGCAGGAGACCACTGCTGCTTCCCCTTGTGCTTTTTTGAAAAGGAGCATATTATTTCATGGAAAGCAGATAAATGCTGAGTGACTGTCTTACCTTGCTCATAGCTCTGTATTTCAAGTGTCCTTCTCCCAAAGGTGCCGAATCTAGCTGAAAATAGGCAAGACACTGAACCCAAGAGTAAAAGGATTCTGGTCTTTACCACCTTTGGTATCAGTTTCAAATGTAAAGAGGTTTAATGCCCATTAGCAACTAAAACTACGTTTTCTCCCCTTTGAAATTGAACTACATTTTGGCAGAAAGAAACAGTTATTTAAAGCCTTAGTATTATTAATTCAGGAAGGGACTACACAGAGCATTTACTCCAAGTTCCCCATTTTAACAGATGAGAAAATGACGGCCAAGAATGATAACTTAATAGCTACATGGCAGGCCTGCTAACCGGTCTGAGATCTTCCTTTCACACAAAGTTCTAGTCCCTACTGAGATAAAACAGTGGGAGATGATGAAACTGAATTTTCAGAGCAAGCCCGTGTCTAAACCCTGGCAATAACCACTAAGAAAATGCAATGGGAAAAACATTCCACTTATAGTAGCAGCAGAAATGATAAAACTCTCTAATTAGATGTCTTCTTCATCTCACCCACAAAAATAAATTCTAGATGGATTAAAGATCTAAATGTAAAGAAAAAAACAAAATGATGAAAGTTCTAGAAGAAAAAATAAGAGAATGTCTATTTCTTATGATATTTGGGTAGAAATGAATGATCTTCATAAACAAGACATAGAATTCAAAATGTAAGTGAAAAGATCTACAGATATGGCTGAAAAAAAATTAAAAACCTCTGTAAACAAAGACAAATAAAAAACAGTAGATAAAGAGGAAATATTTGCAACATATATTGTAAGTAAAAGATGAATATCCAGGATATATAAAATGTTTTAACAAATAAATACAAAAAATAAATTAATTCTATAAGAAAATAGACATGGGACATGAACTGGCCAATCACAAAAGAAATACAAATTGTCGTGGAGCACATGAACAGATGGTTTTAGGGAAATAGATATCAATTGTGGTTTTTGGACTGCAGTTGGTTTCAGAACCATCTAAGCAAGAGTATTAAATCATAGGCAAGGGATGGTCTTCTGGGAAATGGGCTTTCCAGAAAGGTGGAAAGGTTTAGGCAGGCTGTAATTCAGGGAAAACTGGCCTTGTTAAATTTGTTTCTAGAACCAAGAGAGTTCAAGTTTGTTAAGCCTTTCCTTAGACAGAAATACGACTTATGTGTATAAAGGTGATTAAAACTCTGAGTAGAGAAAGGTTAAGGCATAATCAGACTTGAATTTTTTCACATCTGGCTTGATTCCCCTTGTAGGCATTCTGTGCCCCACCCTGAGGCCTGGGGGCCAGGGAAAGCTGTACTGAGACAGCCATGTTTGTTCCATGTGGCCACCCCACTGCTGACAAGACTTTATATCATTCTCCAATTAAATCCTGACCTGAATTGTGTTCTACACTGAGTGTGTGTTTTTGTGTGCCTTTCCCATCAACTGATAAATATCTGAAATGCAGCAATGTTTATCCTAATTAATCTAAAAAATGTAGATCAAAATATGATACATCTGGTTTTGTCTAACTGAACAGAACAAATTAAAATACCTGTGATATCCAGTGGTGGGGATATCAAGAGGTGGGATAAAGTCAGTTCCAACAAACTCTTGGTATGAAATGGAATGGAATTGTCGCTTCAGTCATGTCCGACTCTTTGGGACCCCATGGACTGTAGCCCACCAGGTTCCTCTGTCCATGAGGATTCTCCAGGCAAGAATACAGAGAGGGTTGCTATGCCTTCCTCCAGGAGGTCTTCCTGACCCAGGGAACGAATCCATGCCTCTTTATGTCTCCTGCATTGTCAGGTGAGTTCTTTACCATTAGCGCTACCTGGGAAGCCCAACTGTTGGTAAGGATATTATTAATAAAGCCATTTGGGAGTCAGTTTGGCAGTATCTTTTAAATACCAAATATATTTTTCTCTTCGACTTAGCAATTGTAATTCAGGAACATGTGCCTATGCTTAAGCTGCATGGAAAAAGATTTTACTGAAATGTTATTTTTATTGAAAATCAGAAGCAAAATGGCATGAATAAGAAAATGATTAAATAAACTGGAACATGTTCATGCTTAGTTTATATTCTTCCAGAAACAGATCTTGTGACTGGGATTCAAGTGTAAGGTGCCTGGGAAGTGTAAGTAGGGAACTGGGGAAGCGATGCAGGGAAGAGCAGATGACTGATGAAGGATGTGTTATTGAGCAGTCAGCGACCAGAGTTTAATCCTTCAGGAAAACTCAGAAGGTAGTGCAAAGCACATATCTCAGAATTATCCTAGCCAAGGGTTTAAGGGGCTGGGATATTTATACTGCTACAACTTTTAGTCATTGTTAAAGCTGGGCTGGAAGAAGCACAAGCTGGAATCAAGATTGCCAGGAGAAATATCAATAACCTCAGATATGCAGATGACACCACCCTCATGGCAGAAAGTGAAGAGCAACTAAAAAGTCTCTTGATGAAAGTGAAAGAGGAGAGTGAAAAAGTTGGCTTAAATCTCAACATTCAGAAAACTAAGATCATGGCATCTGGTCCCATCACTTCATGGGAAATAGATGGGGAAACAGTGAAAACAGTGTCAGACTTTATTTTTGGGGGCTCTAAAATCACTGCAGATGGTGATTGTGGCCATGAAATTAAAAGACAACTTACTTCTTGGAAGGAAAGTTGTGACCAACCTGGATAGCATATTTAAAAGCAGAGACATCACTTTGCCAACAAAGGTCCATCTAGTCAAGGCTATGGTTTTTCCAGTGGTCATGTATGGATGTGAGAGTTGGACTGTGAAGAAAGCTGAGTGCTGAAGAATTGATGCTTTTGAACTGTGGTGTTGGAGAAGACTCTTGAGAGTCCCTTGGACTGCAAGGAGATCCAACCAGTCCATCCTAAAGGAGATCAGTCCTGGGTGTTCATTGGAAGGACTGATGTTGAAACTGAAACTCCAATACTTTGGCCACCTCATGTGAAGAGTTGACTCATTGGAAAAGACCCTAATGTTGGGAAGGATTGGAGGCAGGAGGAGAAGGGGATGACAGAGGATGAGATGGCTGGATGGCATCACCGACTCGATGGACATGGGTTTGGGTAGACTCCAGAAGTTGGTGACGGACAGGGAGGCCTGGTGTGCTGCAATTCATGGGGTCTCAAAGAGTCGGACATGACTGAGTGACTGAACTGAACTGAACTGAAAGCTGTCTCTCAGAGGAACTTTAATTCCCAAGTACTTCCATTCAACCAACCGTTGGGCAAATTGGTTTCAGAGGCTGGAGGGAGCTATCCAACAAAGGTGGAGGTATTGGCCATTGGCAGTCAGGCTGTGATGTGTGGAGATGATGAAGGTTTCCAAAGGGATATGAGTGGAGTATGGACAGTATCTGCTACATATGCTAACAAATGCAAAGAGGCCATTAAAAAGAAAGAGGCAAAGTAAGTAGCACATATTGGATTGGCCAAAAAGTTCATTTGAGTTTTTTCATAAGATGTTACAAAAGTCCTGAACAAACTTTGTGGACAATCCAGTAAATGTATAGTATGTTCTCACTTTTGTAATAAAAATACACATAACGTAATTCACAGTGGTGACCTCTAAAGAGAACAGGGTAAAGAAAATGATGGATTTTAACTTTTTATTTTATTTCTGTCATTTGTTCTACAATAGGCCTATAGAATCATTTAAAATTAAAAGAAATAAGGGAAAGTTTAAGAAATACATTCATGAGAAAACAAGAAACAGGTGAAGAAACTGAAAAACACTATGAATTAGGACCAAAAAATACATCCACTAATTAGTCACTGAACATATTTTTATTAAATGCCTTCTATGTAGCAGGCTGCATATTAGATTGTTGTCTAGTCACTAAGTCGTGTTAGACTCTTTCCTAACCCCAGGGACTATAGCCTGCTAGCTCCTCTGTCCATGGGATTTCCAAGACAAGAATACTAAAGTGGGTTGCCATTTCCTTCTCCAGGGGATCTTCCCAACCCAGGGGTCGAACCTGCGTCTCCTGCATTGCAGGAGGATTCTTTACCACTGAGCCGCCAAGGAAGCCATGTATTAGATTAGATACTGGATAAAGCGGCCAGTAAAGACTCTGCCAACGGAGGTACTAAACTTGCTGATCCAAGAACCTCTCCTGAAATCTTGGTATTGGTGAAAAGTTAGTACCTTTTTTTCCTTGAAATATCCATCCCATCCCAAAGCTTCTAAAACTAAATATTCATACTTTTGAGGATTTTTTTTTTAAGTTTTAAAGTGGGGAAAGCACAGAGCTTAGGAATACATATGGATATGCTTTTAAATGTTGAAAACACTAATGCGTAGGGAATTGTGATTTTTTTTTTTCTTCCATATAGATCCTGAACAGAAGTGAAGTGTTCATTGAAAAATACACAAGACAGTGGCTCTTTCACCACCTGAGAATTTTCATTGTTTTTTTTCCAGGTACATGATTCTTGTGCTAAGTGGTTATGCTATTGGGGTTAGCAAAGTCTTTTCTGGGGGAAAAAACAGAACTGAATCTCCTTTCCCTGAAATCATAGATACTGACTCTGTGAAAAAGAAGAATGTACATAGAAAGCCCATTTTAGCTCCCAAACACTGACCTCCACAACTTTTATGACTTCTTGCCTAAAGCCTTAAGAACTACTGAAGAGGTGGCATTGATGTAATCTGGGGGAATTGCTCCAAACTCTCTGCTTTCCAGCTTTCTTATTTCAAAGGCAGAATAGACATCTATGGGTATGATAGAGGACCAGAGGTAGAAAGCAGAAAGCATAGTGCAGAGCACAGAGCAAGTGTTCCATTCGTTTTAGTTTCTGTCCTTCCCCACTGGCAAGGCCTGTCTCCCCCTGCACCCACCCAAACCTTGTGAAAAACTGTATAAAAGTAGCTGGTGAATGAATACTGTTCCATCATCTGATGAGATCTCTGTGTCAGACGGACTCTAAGGTGACCTGTCGTGATTTCCAGTCTCCTGTGTCCCCACCTTTCTGTAATTCCCTGCTCCTGAGCCACAGGTAGAGCCTGTGAGTTGCAAAGGTCACAGGATGTCACTCCCTTGATTGGTTTACATTATATGGAAAAGTGGAGGGATTTGTAATATAATTAAGTTCCAAAGTTTTTTTTTTTTTTTAAGTTAATTTGTTGTTGTTTGGTCATTAAGTCACGACCGACTCTTTGTGGCTCTGTGGATTGCAGTGCACCAGGCTCCTCTGTCTTCCACTCCCTCCCACAGTTTGTTCAAATTCATGTTCATCGAGTTGGTGATGCTATCTAACCATCTTATTATCCTCTGCCACCTCCTTCTGCTTTTGCCTTCAATCTTTGCCAGCATCAGAGTCTTTTCCAATGAGTTGGCTCTTCAGGTCAGGTGGCCAAAGTATTGGAGATTCAGCTTCAGCATCAGTCCTTCCAGTGAATATTCAGGCTTGATCTCCTTTAGGATGGACTGGTTGGATCTCCTTGCAGTCCAGGGGACTCTCAAGAGTCTTCTCCAACACCACAGTTCAAAAGCAACAATTCTTCGGTGCTCAGTCTTCTTTGTGGTCCCACTCTCACACCCACACGTGACCACTGGACAAACTAGCTTTGACTAGACAGACCTTTGTTGGCAAAGTGATGTCTCTTGTTTTTTAATACGCTCTCTAGGTTTGTCATAGTTTTCCTTCCAAGGAGCAAGTTATCTTTTAATTTCATGGCTGCAGTCACTGTCTGCAGTGATTTTGAAGCACAAGAAAATAAAATCTGTCACTGTTTCCACTTTTCCCCATTCTATATGCCATGAGGTGATGGGACCAGATGCCATGATCTTAGCTTTTTGAATGTTGAGTTTCAAGCCAGCTTTTTCATTCTCCTCTTTCACCCTCATTGAGAGGCTCTTTAGTTCTTCTTCACTTTTTGCCACTAGAGTGGTATCATCTGCATATCTGAGGTTGTAGATATTTCTCCTGGCAATCTTGATTCCAACTTGTGATTCATCCAGCCCAGCATTTCTCATGATGTACTCTGTATATAAGTTAAATAAGCAGGGTGACAATATACAGCCTTGTCTTATTCCTTTTCCAATTTGGAACCAGTCCATTGTTCCATGTCTCGTTCTAACTATTGCTTCTTGACCCCCTCATGTATATTTCTCAGGAGACAGGTAAGGTGGTCTGGTACTCTCATTTCTTTGAGAATTTTCCAGTTTGTTGTGATCCACACAGTCAAAGGTTTTAGTCAATGCAGCAGACTTACTTACTTACTTAAAGTTGCTCAGTTGTGTCTGACTCTTTGTGACCCCATGGAATTCCAGTCCATGGAATTCTCCAGGCCAGAATACTGGAGTGGATAGCTGTTCCTTTATTCAGGGGGTCTTTCCAACCCAGGGATTGAACCCAGGTCTCCCACATTGCAGGTATATTCTTTACCAGCTGAGACACCAGGGAAGCCCAAAAGAAGCAGAAGTAGATGTTTTTTCCTGGACAGTTAATCCAAAGGGAGATTATCTTGGGTGTGTCTAACTCAGTCAGGTGGAAGCCCTTTAAAGAGGGCCAAGGCCCTCCCTGAAGTCCAGAAACTCTCCTAGATTTGAAGAAATAAGCCCCATGAGGTGAGAGGGCTACCAGAAATGATCTCACTGCAAAGAACTACAGGCAGCCTCTAGGAGCTGACAGTAGCCAGCAAGGAAACAGGGGTCTCAGATCCACAGCTGCAAAGAGATAAATTCTACCAACAACATGAGGGAGCTTGGAAGTAGATCTTGCCCCACTCAAGCTTCTGATGAGACAGGAGCCTCCACTGACACCCAGATTTCAGCTTGGTGAGACCCTGAAGTAGAGAACCTAGCTAGGGTAGCCCTGGACTCCTGACCCACAGAGACTATGAAATAATAGCCATGTGTTGTTTTTAAGTTGCTGACTGTGATAACTTGCTACACAACAGTAGACTATCTCCCTGTAGCTCTTCTGTTTTATACTGAGATAATAAAAAGGATGGTGAGGATAATGAAGGAATGAAGGTGGGAGGGGAGGACAAACATGAAACATTTATTAAACACTTAATATATGGCAGGCACATTAGTCATGGTTCTGAAATGAGACAAATGGGACACTCAAGTGGTAAAATAGGGAGCATCTTACCACAAAACTATATTCAGAAGTATGCATAGCATAAGGACTCCCAACAAGAGATGTTAAGGCCATGAGCATCTCTAGGTGTGAAGATCCAAAGGGAGAAAGCAGAATTAATGGAAGCTTTAGAGAGCTTAGCTATGGGAGAGGGCTGCCTGACAGGAACTGGGGATGAAGGTAAAGGTATATAGACTCTATTGAAATGGTGAAAGCCAGGGAAATAAATACTCTGGGTTCTTATTCCTTTGAGTAGCTATTCTACTAGTATCTCCCTTTGGTTGAATTCAGCCAGAAGCCAGAGTGCAAAGATTACTTGGTGGCACAGTCTTAGAGGTCAGTCTCTAAGGCCCAAAGCAGGGATGAATAAAGAGGTGGAGAATGGAACTGGAAGGGTAAATGGAAAATAATAAACTCTCATGGATTAGTTTATTGGTTTTTGGTACATGAGGACTGAAGTATAGAGATGTTATGTAATCTACCCAGGGTAAGAGAACCAATGGGCTTCCCAGGTGGCTCAGAGGTAAAGAATTCACCTTCCAATGGCAGGGACGCAGGAGACATGGGTTTGATCCTTGGGTCAGGAAGATCTCCTGGAGGAGGAAATGGCAACCCATTCCAGTATTCTTGCTTGGAGAATCCCACGGAGAGAGGAGCCTGGTGAGCTACAGAGTCCGTAGGTTTGCAAAGAGTCGGACATGAGTGAGCGACTGAGCACATGCAAGAGAACCAACCAATAGGTGGTAGAGCTAAGATCGGAACCTAGGCATGTCTAGTCCCAGAACCTGGACTCTTTTTTTAAAGCTAATTAATTAATTTGTCTACATTGGGTCTTAGTTGCGGCGTGTGGGATCTTCATTGTATCATGTGGATCTTTCGATGCAGCACACACTCTCGAGTTATAGCGCATGGGCTCAGTAGTTGTGGAGCACAGGCTTAGTTACACTGTGGCATGTGGACTCTTAATTCCCTGACTAGGGATCCAACTCTTATCGATCTGCATTGCAAAGTGGATTCTTAGTGGATCCATTGCAAACTGGACCATCAGGGAAGTCCCAGAGCCTGGATTCTAGACCACTCCAATTAGAGTCATTGGGACCCTTTGTGCCTATGACCTTTCTATTCTGGGCTTTCCTCTGGATCCAGGAAGTCCCTTCCATGCTCAGCCACAGTGTAGGATAGGTTCCTCTTTCTTCACCATGGCCCCCTTCATGTTACTAAAGTCAGATACTGGCATCTTGCTTGTGGTGGCCAGAATAGGTCCACCATGATCAACATGGGTGACTAAATTTGGGGAGAAACAAACCTTTTCTCATGAGATTTCCAGCTGAGTTGCTCAGGACCAACGAGAACAGAAAACTCTCCAATGTTTCCAAAACCATCAAAGCCTTTGGCATTTTCTCCCAGTCATTCCCAAATTACTTCAAAGTGTTTGTTCTTACCTGGCAGGAGGGCACGGGAGAGAGTTTCAAAGCCTTTTGTGGAGACCCACAGCCTTTACTCTCATTTGCAAAGCTTCCTCCTCTGAAGAGGTGATGAGTTCAGTTATTTCAGGAGCAAGGATGTAAATGTGACCCTGGCTTAGCTCAGAGTAACTGCCTAGAGTTCCTGCAAATATCAAGAAGAAAGGAAAAAGAAAGTTAAAAAGAAAACCTCTCCATATAGTTCATAAACCTGCCAAATGCTTAATTAGCTTCTTTGTAGATCTGCAGCCCACTTTCTTCCAGACAATGTCCTTGTAGGACAGTCAGGATATGGGATTTGGGGGCACAGAGGGCTTGGTTCTGGTCCCAGCTCAGCCACGTATTAGCTAGATGACCTTGGGCAAGTCATTCATTCATGGAACTTTTATTGAGGGCTTTATCCTTGAGAAGTATAAAGATGAAAGACACAGTTTCTGCCCTCAGGGAGCACACAAAAAACTGAATAGAAAATGGTATATAAACAAATAGTTATATCCCAGTGTGATAAATGCTAAGATAGAGATTCCATGAGGGGTGCCTGGAGGAGGGATACCTAGCTCAGCCTGGAGAGGCTGATCTACTAAACTCTCTGGGTTTCCATCCCTCTGCTGTGAAATAGAGAGGTTTCACGTATTTGCACGGGAGCTAATTCATTCATTTAGTGCTGGACACGGAGAAGAATGGGCTTCCCTGGTGGCTCTGTGGTAAAAAAAAATCTGCCTGCTAAATACAGGAGATGTGGCTTCCATCCCTGGATCAGGAAGATCCTTTGGAGTAGGAAATGGCAATCCACTCCAGTATTCTTGCCTGGGAAATCCCATGGACAGAGGACCCCAGAGGGCTACCATGCATGGGGTCACAAAGAGTTGG